TTCCTGATATATGTATGAACCATGCGTGAACACTGCATGACCTCAGCGCTAACACTGCCGACAGTGAGTGTCAATGAAGAATGCTCTTCCTCTTGCTGATTTTTCTCCTGCTCTTTTAGAAGTAATAGTCCTGCAGTTACCAGACATAAACACTTTCTCTGCTTTGCAATAACAATGTTTCTGGAATTCAGCATGTATCGTCAACAGCAAGTCGAAGAAAAATCTACGCTATATATAGCATGCTGCCAAGCGGGACAAAGCATGACCAAAGTTGCCACAACGACTTCACCCATGCGTAAAGTCGTCGGGGCAATGCGTTTTTATGCGGGAAGACAGGGGGAACTATACGTGTCGTGCGTGACAATGTGGTACAATGCAGTTCGTTAGATGTGAACAATGCGCGAACAATACTTAACCTATGCGTAAACAAGTAGTGCCATTACGTGTCAGTGCGGCCTATTTTTGGCCGTGCATTGTGTAGACAGTGCATAACGTGTGTACAGTGCGCGAACAGGCAGCAGACATGGCTTCCCCTTCCACCGAAATGGCACGCCTTGCCACAACGCTTTGCGCGCAATGTGGTTGACAAAAGTCGTGCAAGTGTCAGTGTGGCATTAGACTATAAAACCAAGGAAAATCATGATTTTTCTAGAAAAGAACATGTGTTGCAATTACAAGACTCAAGTTATTCATTATTTTCAATCAGTTGACTAACCTAATGGATAACTGTAATAAACATAATACTGTACAATATAATATAATGTACACTATAAAAAAGAATAATCAAAAAGCAGTTGGGATTTTATTGGAGAGCAAAGTGCAGTATGGATTTAGCTCTAATGAGTTGTCAACCCAGACCCCCATGGTTGTCCATATCTCACCAGCTTTACATTCAAGCAATTACCATTGAAAAGCCATCACAACCATGTAGATAAGAGATACAATTGATCCTTACTGGCATTCTAAATAGCATGGGCTTTACAAGCAGGCTTATGGGTCATCCATTTTTTTCATCATTTTCTAGATTGTACAAAATATACTTTTTCTGTAAACCCCTCCTTCGCAAATAGCAGTACACAATAAAATAATGATGTCATTTTGAGTGATTTTTTATTTTCATAAAAGTTGAACCCCTCCCTTTATTGTAGCAATGTTCTGTACTCTATTAAAAATGATGGAAAAAATGGTTTAGGGGGTTCAATTGTGTTTCGACTGACAGAGGTCATAGGTCATATTCTTTCTCTGTTCAAAGGGTTTTAATCATCTCAAGTTGACTTTTCTCTAAGTTAACTTTAATCTTTAGCAGTGGCGGCTCTAGGATATAATTTATGGGGGGGGGGGTGCTAAGGTGTCCGACTGAGAGGACTAAGTATTTATGGGTGTAACTATAGCACGCAGCATTATCTGAGGGCCGAAGGCCGGAGCAGGGGGTGGGTATGGGAGGGGGTGGATTGCCTAATGTAACTTTGTCATGATACATACTAGCTCCCCAAGGCCAACCCAGAGCAGCAGCCTTATCTATATGTTATAAACATCAGAAAAAATTACACCAAAGGTAGCAAAATACAAAAAAAAAAAATTTATCAAATTCACAAACCAATTAAACTAAAGCAAAAATTATTGGGGAAAAAAAAAAAGGAAAGAAAATTATTTATTTATTTATTTATTTATTCACGGTATAAAAATATAACACCAAAACAGGCAGCCCGTAGGCTGAAATCGTTGGTTTACAAAAAATATATATATATATATGTTATAAACATCAGAAAAAATTACACCAAAGGTAGCAAAATACAAAAAAAAGAAATTTATCAAATTCACAAACCAATTAAACTAAAGCAAAAATTATTGGGAAAAAAAAAAGGAAAGAAAACATTTTTTACACACACAAAAAACACACAAAAGAAAAAAAAACAAAAAAAAAACGCAGATACAAGACACCAGCAAAGGAACTTAAATTAAACAAAACCACAAAACAAAACAAGCAAAAAACGTTAGCATGACATCACATAAACGTTGTTTATTTCACCATCAGAATTAGGCGCCGTAAAATGTATCATCATTGAACTTGCCTAAGGTGAATCCAAAATGCCATTGAAATATTGTTCGACTTGGATAAAATTTGACTATACCTGTAGATTGTTAAATAATGGAAAACACAAGAGTTTGGCATGTAAAATTAGATCGACTTAGAAATTATTTGATTTAGGCAAAGTGGACTTAAACAAGTTTAACTTTATTTTCAAACAGTAACACGAGTCTATAATAGGCCAAGTAAAAAAAAAAGTAGTTTCTCGTCCTAATTTTTTTTTTAAAGAGAATGATGGCGGTTTTTTTTTTCTTTTCTTTAAGAAACAAAAAATAAAAGGGGGCGAAATAAAAAAAAGCATGCTATCTATGTATCAATGCTATCAATGTTAAAAAATAAATCTTGGCCGTTTGGTCCCGTTGTATTTCAGCGATGCAACTTGAATTATGTACATTGTTAACTAGTATAACAACCAACCAACCAATACTTACTTAGAAATAAATAAAATCAAACACTTTTTTTCACGCTTGTTTCTTCTTGTTATTTATCACGCCAATAGCTTGCTAAAAGTAATGCGGCCCAACACGATTTAGACATGTGATACGGATTGCAATATGTTTATTGGTCAATTCTCTTTATAATTAAACCGTATGGTACCGCAACTTTTTATTTTACAGAGGATACGCTAATTATTGAAACTGGCGGTCCAACTCGCAGTAGGCATGTATTGATAATATATCCCTATCGGACCACCGATATTTTTAAAAAAAATGGTAGCTGCCAAAATTTTTATTGTACTCGTCGCGGTCTTCACGATCAGTAAACAGTCGAAATGACGAAAATGAGGTAAACTAAGACAAAATATGCGATCGATTTTGACTGAAAATTGAATATATAAAAAAAAAACAAAAAAAAACAAAACAAAACGAAGCGGCCTGAAAATAGCATGCAGGCGGGGACGAGAAACTCCTTTTTTTTTTTACTTGGCCTAATAATATAATAGAGTATCAATAAGCAGCATCTATAATCCTCATTCACCAAAATTATAAGAAATTAAGTTCAATTTTGTTTTAAGATATATTGTCACCTGAAAATGACAAATGAGTATGTTCAAGTTGATAATTTTTATGTTACTTTAAAATGAGCAAGTTCATTGATTTTTATGATTATTTTTGTATTTTTGCAAGGAACAGTACATCTTTATTAAGGTATTTGAGGAACAACATCAATTGAATTTGGTTCATTATGAAATATGTATGGAAACAGTTAGAAGCTGTCACAGCTTAATTACACATGATTGATACACGCATTAGCAATACATCCCCCTTCATGTTTTAAGAGCGACTGGTGCCTCGGGATTATCGCCACACAGGCTCTTAAAGTGGCATTGCTGCATGTTTATGTCATTAATATTCATGCTTGTTGAAAATGTAAACATCCTAAATATTGTGTTTATAATTGGCTGTGATGTCATGTTAATGTAAAATGTAAACATTCAGGTTTTTCAACAGATGATTGCCAAATTAATGCCTGTCAAAATGTAAACATTTAAAGTTTTACATTTGTGATTGATTGGGATGCCACAATATATCTGTTGGAAGTTTAAACATTCTGAATTTGACATCTTGTGTGATTGGTTGTGATGCCACATTATTGTCTGTTGAAAGTTTACATCCTGAATTTGACATCCTGTGATTGGTTGTGATGTCACATTAACATCTTAAAAATGTAAACGTCCTTATTTTTTTGGTCGTCCTAATACATGGGATAGTAACAAGTTGTTAAAATTTAGTCAGACTGCAAGTTCATGTTTTTTTTTTATTGGTGCATTAATATTCATGCCTTTGAGAATGTTAACATGCAGTGTTATCAGTGATTAAGTAGTGATGGATCATGTAACAAAAAATGTTTTCACTCATTAGAATACCAATTAATCACTGATACTATACATAATATTTTTACAATATTTTTATTTTCAAATTTATTAAGAAAAGCTAAAGCGCTTAGAGACTTAATTATAATTTGTGCTATATAAAAACCGATTATTATTATTATTATTTTTTTTAAATATTTTTTTTTATTTGTGTAGATGGGACAAGGGTTAGCAATTCTGAGGTCTCAAGTTAGAAGAATCAATTTTTGAGAGCTCTTTTTAAAGGAACTTCCTTAACACAATGGTCTAAATATATATTGCTGCGCATGTTGATAACCATCACCATTTGACATCCGAGAGACAATTTGTAATGTAATAAAAACATGTATAATATAATGAATTTGTGGGAGATAGGTTAGTTTCCAGAAGGTTTTTTGCTTCCTTGCGACAGTGTGGGAGGCTGCCTCGTTATTCGGGAAACTCTCGCAACTTGTGCAGAACTTGGGACCCCTGGCCATGTAGCCAAGCAAAAACAAACAATAAAAGTCAGTTTGCACAAGTATAATGCAATAATATTAATAAGCTAACTGTATTATTTGGTATTTGATGACTGTCCTAGAATAGGGATTTGAAGACTACGCTAACAACCAATATTATAGTGTTAATTGTTGTTCATAGTGACTTATAAACAGCATTTGCTTTTAAATATTTTTTCTACTCTAGAGGTTTCTAACATAGCATAGTGCATAGGTAATTTTGTTTAAAAAAAAATATGTTAATAGAAATTTTAAAAAAATTGTATTTATAGTTATTTTTGTTTTGAAATGTTATATACGCCTAGGTTAGACAATTACATTATATCGGTTCATCCTGGTAAGTATATTATCTGACTCATAGACCAACACCATCACTTCTGATTTGTGTGTTCAGTAATTTAAATCATTGATAATTTATGAATGAGTTTTTTTGAGTAAGCCTACAGTGGCTATGTTTTTGGCACCCCATGGGGATAGTCAATGGTCATGTATTTTTATAGCACCTTCCACAGTTCTTTCATTCAATAGTTTAATGTTGTTCTATCTGTTTATTTCCATTCAGCTTCATCCTGCCAGCCTCTGTAGCGTCGACGACGAGGATGACCTCCACAACTCTGTGGTCGTGATGAAGTTAGAGCCCCCTGGTGATAGTCTCTGCATTGCTGACACACTCTATGTAAAGGTGAGACCCCAGTTTATAATACCTTGTAGTAAATTATAATAAACATCTACTTTTCATATTCTCATGAAGAATGCTATGCTAAAGAGTACAATACATCTGGTTGCTATGATTATAATTTGCATATTAATTATCAATGTGATGATTAACTCAAAGTTCAGGGTTGAATTAATGATGTCTGTATTTAATTAATGCATTATTATTTTCAAACAATAGTGGATAATTTATGCGGATTTTTCTTAATTACATGAAACTTACTCAGACTGCAGTGTACATGCCATTATAATTGTTGGTAAAAATATTCTCTTTTATAATTTTTTGTATTACAATTACCGATATATTTTTTAATTCGATTTTTAATTGAATATTAACATTTTTAGTAACATTAATAAACAACAGTGTAGAAAATTCACCACCTATTTGTAAAATATAGAAACAAATAGTAAATAACAAATCAAATTATATGCAAAATCTATTTCAGAAATGTAGACAATATACTGTAGGCCTAATGAATGGAAAATAATATACAGACATTTATATACAGTGTACTTTTAATTAAGATAAAAAAAAAATATTTAGGCCAGTTGTGTTTCTTATGAGAAAGTGAACTTATCAGTTGAAAACATAACCTTTGTGAGGACAAGCCCCAGCACCAGGCCAGCGTCGCTGGTCCCAGCAAGCCCTGTCGTCATCCGTACTGTGCTCGGCTTGCTGCCTCAGATCAAGGCCACCTAGTCTTACACAGAGCTGTTCACATGAATGAATTTACATGAAGCCTGTTGAATTAAATGCTTTCTGCAATTGCAAGCAACAATATTGCACCAGGCTGGAAAAGATTGAGTTCATTGTTAAGCATTTGGCTTGGATAAGTTTTCTGAAAGCCGGTGTAACCAGAGATGTTGAAAGGTGTTAAAACTCAGTGATTTGGATACTTTGTTGCAGATTGTAGAAACACTGCTCACTGCATTTTGTAAACAAGCTACAGTTATATGATTTGCCATTATGAATAGAATTTATTCAAGAACTGTTTTCGAATAATGAGTAATTATAAAACTGACTGAACATACTCTAGTCTGTGCAGTGATGCCATAAAAGTAATCAACTTGTGAATGTTGGACTTGAAATTTCTGGTTGATGAAATTAAGCTGCTTTTTGTTCTTGTTTGCCACCATAAAATATTGTATGCATTTTAAATATTGATTTATTTGGACATTTATATAGCACCACATCACATAATAAACTCATAGTCCTTAACTTTAACCGTCATTCTAACAATGCAACAGCAATTTCCTTTCTGGTGGATGATGGAGAAAAAAAGTGTACCACATAATAAGTACTGCCGGATTGGGCAATGTGGTTTAAATATGATTTATGATTTTTAAATAATAGTAGAACCTTGTTAGTCTGGTTGATATATAAAAATAAAAAACACAAGCACTTTATAGACAGATTAACTTAAATTGTTTACACAAGCTTTCACCAGCAGTCTATGGTGGCTTCATCAGAACGTGCAGTGGAGCAATGATTTTCGGAAATAGTACACACAAGTTATAGTAATTTACAGTCTTACTCACATGTTCGCAGTCACAGCATGAACAAAATCTTGTAGTTTTTATTAAGTTTTTCTAGTCTGTAAAGTCCTGTTGTCTCCTAGGTACGTACTTTCATGATAGACATGAGATTTAAAATTTTGTTTCTTGTTCTGTACATTAATGTATTGATGAATACTGTAAGTGTAAGTCATCCTTACAGTATACAATCATATGTTTCTCTGTAAGTCACAGCGTAACAAAACAACTGTTATATTCAGCAGGAAATCAATTAAAAACTGTTGAAAACAACAATATCAAAGTACATTTACAGTTATAATTTATTTTTATTTGGATTTTATTATGCATTTTTTGTATTTCCTTCACATCCAACAGCAAGTACACTTGTCACTTACAGGATGGAATGATGCTTTATAAACTAAGTCTTTTATGAGGTTTATGGAGTGGAGTTTTTAATCATGAGAAAAAGTCCTTCAGTTACAGGGTTTGAACCCATGACCCTGGGATTGGAAAGCAGGCATCTTAACCACCACCCCACTTTATATGAAACAGAATATAATTGTTCTGCTTTTCTCAGTTCTTTTTCATTTACTTGCATAAATGTTAACTTGCTTATTTACCAACTCACTGAATTTGTATGAATATTTCAATATTTTGACTTGAGTGATTTTTAACTTAAGATATTATCTCTTGAAATCCAAATTATAGAAAAAAAAAAAAAAAAAAGGTTTTTTTGCAGCCAGTAAATACTAAAAAATATAATTGACTCGCTTAATGACCAAATTCCATCTGTACAACTCCAGTCTTTATACCTTAATGATTTTAAAATAGTATCTAGATCACCAGAAATTGGGACTTTAGCCCAAAGCAAATCGTTCATGCATGACTAATTAGAAATTTAAATTGTTTTGTTTGGAGGGCGAAAAGCTTCAGTAAAAGACAATTGGGCATCTAGCCATGCTTAATCTTAAAACAATGAAGTTTATTGAATTTTTATTATCAGTTTTCTTGTCAGAGTAGGTAGCTTCAGGCATTTTCTGTCTCGGATTTGTTTAGTACAGTCAGGACCTGCATAATTTGTACATGATATTGGGCTTAGGTTGGCTGGATAATATTTTGTTATAATAGGTGAGTTCTTTTCATAATAATTATTAAATAATGAAAAATCATTAATAATAAATAATACTAATGGTCTATACTTTGAAATAAGTTTTTAAACTGTATGCACAAAACAAAATTATAGTAGAAGAAATTGTATTCACTCAAAAAATATAGCAATATTGAAATATATTTAAAGAAGTGTTGAAATATATTGTGTAAAATAACTCATACGTGTCAAGGCTTTATACTTGTAAATGTAATGCAAAAATAATTAATAATGAAATGTTTACTATTTTAATATTTTATTTTTTATTGTATAATTATAATAATTTTGTATAGCTGTACACATTTGTTGTTTAAAAAAAATAATAAAAGTATTTAAAAGTATTATGCTTATTATAAGCAAATGTAAATTTCATCAAAAGATAAATTTTTAAATTATAGTACATCTAGATGTTTTTGGCAAAACCATTTTGAAATGATAACCAAATTTCATTTTTATTTTATTTACTGAACTCCTCTGACAATCTTTAAAAGCATAAGTTCATGAAACAATGTATAAAAAGATTCTCGCCTGATACTGAATTGGAATTGCCATGATTGTGATAATATAGCCGTCATCATCATAGTAAACATTACTGCTACTTGTTTTATCATTACTTACTATTAATGTTTCCATTATAAACTATTTATAACATGATATTAAAGTGAAACATTATCACATCATATGGTCTGTAATGCTGTCAAATTGACTAGTGAGTTTACATACAGTAAAGGTTGGTCACCGTCGACTGATTTCATGTAACAAAGTAACTTGTACCATTTACAGTAACTTACAATATTCGTAGACATTCTATATTCTCTAGTTGACAGTATGTACCGCACGCAGTACAGTGAAAGATGAAAAAAAAAATTAATTGTCCGTAAATTTGCAAACTCTGAGCGCACTGTAATCCAGATATGTATTGCTAATAAGAATAGAAAGATCCGTTAAACCGACAAAGAAAACAACAATTTTCTAGAGATATAACTACAGATATTCACGGCCTAATTTCTTTTGACTGTTTGCGACTGAACTATATTTTTTTCTAAAATAAATCAGTCGGCGATTGCTTTCATTTTTTTTTTCAATTCTTCTGATAAATGAGTGTGTATCAACATTTTGTCTTCCATTTTACCATGAGACAAAAGAAAATGTTACAACTTATTCATCGCCTTACTTATTAATGTTAGAAAAAGAAAGACAATGTTAAACCACTCTCAAATTATTTAGGATGGAGTTGTGCATGCTCATTGGGCAGAGCATATTTTTTAGGGGAGACTTTTTTTATTCCTTGTTTCGCGAACTTTTTTTAAAGATCGTCAGAGGAGGGCGGAAAAAAAAATAAAAATAAAATTTTGTTTTCTTATTTAGCAAACAAAAACATCGAGACAGAGGAGAAAATAAAACTAAACTTTTATTGGTGAATGTAAACAATGTAGTAATGGGATGGTTAACTGCTTTAAATTTACAATTAGGGAGACGTATACATTTTATTTTTGGAGATTTTAAGGCAGAGGCAGGCGCAATAAAAATAAAGAAAAAATTTATTTTTTTCTTGAAATTTCCATTTTTTGTTGCTCCAGGTACGCTAACTGGCCAAAAATAAAACGTTATTATTTAATATTTTAAATCATCATTATTGATGGGTGGTAGGTTCGCTAAACAAGGTACAAAAAAGTCTCGCGGCAGGCGCAATAAAAATAAAGAAAAATTTTATTTTTTTCTTGAAATTTCTATTTTTTTGTTGCTCCAGGTGCGCTAACTGGCCAAAAATAAAATGTTATTATTTAATATTTTAAATCATCATTATTGACGGGCGGTAGGTTTGCTAAACAAGGTATAAGAAAGTCTCGCCTAAGAAAAACAGACATTGCAAAGGCTTGTAACAATACCAAGATATTTAAACACTCAAATTATTTAGGATGGAGCTGTACATGCTCATTGGGCAGAGCATATATTTTATTTACTAAAATATAAATAAACCAACTTGTGACTTGTCTGACTTCTCTTCTTTATTGTAAATTAGGTTTGAGAGCTTCACTGTCATTTTAAAAATAAACAATGTTTTTGTTTAAATGATGAAAATGTCTGTAAGTTGTGAACTGAAATAAATTCCCCGCTGGTACAAATCGGTTATTGACCTTCTATCCATTGTCCATTTCACATTGTATATTCAAATCCTATTGGGTTCTGTTAAGAAGATGCTTAATTTTACGTACTATTCTATTCATTACTTTAAGACCTATCACCTGTCTCTTTTCATGTGATAAGTTCTTAATTACACTCTTGTGTACCATTGTATATAACTACTTTTATATTCCCGAAAAAGCTAATAAGTGAAGTTAAATGTGATCGTCAAAGTATCATTTATTTAATGCTTGACTAACTTTTACAGCTAAGCAAAAATTGCTGTATTATCTTCCCTACTTCGAACAGTGTTTGAAGTCTGTATGCTTCTTGGAGAATAAGATTAATTTTGATCCTAATTTCTTATTGCAAAAGTAGTATATTTTCATTACAATGATAAAAAAACTCATGGTATATCATGATAAATAAAAAAATACTGGTTTTGTCATTGATTGAGTGATTTACTGTATCAGTTGCTTTGCCCAGTGTGCAAAACTTTATTACGTTTCATAGTTACTATAAAACCTACTGTATATTTCCATGCCATCTACATGGCTTTTAATTCACAACAAAGGCTGGGCTTGAGTCCATGTGTGTATCATCATGGTTAGAAATCAATATAGCTACTTGTGTATTTTATACCAATGTTCATTCTTTGTTGTTTACCATTACAAATGTTAAGAGTGCCTCAATGAAACGGGACATCATAAACATAGCATGAGTTAATGGGAATGGGATACAGTAGGTGTTCTTATTTGTATAAATAAGTAATTAGGGCCAAGGATTGCCAATAGGGTCCAAGGGTCTATGGTCCAAATTCAAAGGCTCATAAAAACTCATAGGTGGCAATCCCTTTCACGATACCAACATACAGACACAATACTCTATATAAACTTAAATATGAGGCTCAGTGAGTAAAGTTGTTTTTGGTGTAAGAAAAAAAATCCTTCAACAATGACAGGAATTGAACCCAGGAACCAGGGATTAGAAGGTAAGCATTTTAACCACCAAGCTAATAACTCGCTTCAAATTCAAAAGTAAAATTGTCCACGCTTTGTGTAATACTGTTTCATTATCAAGAAAATTGTATAGACAGTGCATAGACAAATGTTAATTGTTAGTTAAGGAGGGGTAATTCAATTTACATTTACTGATACTATATCTGGCCTATACCTATTCAATCTTCTTACAGTATATTAATTGTATGATCTACACAGTGGATGGCCTTGGAAATTTCTGTCAAAACTAAGTTCTTAAAGACTGTCCTATGTTACTATACTCTATACAGTACAGTATAGTACAAGTGAATCAGTAAATCAATCAGGTAATGGGTGGTGAAACCCTCTTGATCTCATGAAGGTTTCATCAATGGGATGCATCTGACCAACTACTGTAGTTGCTGGTCACACTTTGTTTCTAGCCCTGCTGCTTGGCATGGTCAGTAGCAATGATCGAAACCTGTTTCTCTGAGAAATGAGGCAATGTGCTATTCTGTGTACAGTAGGTAATGTAAATGGTTAATGCACTGTTAAAATAATTCTGAATATTATCGCTGATCCATGGGATACAAAGGAATGGATAAACAGACAGAGATAGATATTACTGTTTGTGATAGAAAAGATTGATGTGAGCAAGAAAACTACAGTATCATCTATGTTGTGTAGAATTTGTAGAGCAAAGGTTTGTGTAAAATTGTTACGAGCGTTCAGAAAACTAGATTAATCCACAAGAATTTCTTAAAAGTAGGGAATAACACAAATATTTTCATGATCTGTAGCAAAAATTAAAAACATAAATTCATAATTTCCCAGAGGTGCCAGTTGTTAAGCGTAGAATGTAAATTTTGAGAATAGTATGTTAGTACAAATTGTAAGATTCGATAGGGAATAGTTCGGAGTTTGTTAACGACTGCGATTACACTCAACTTCTTCCTTCTTATCTTCTAACGCGGGAAGAAATTATCACCAGCAGTTTATTTCTTGCCGTAAGATTTACAAGTTTCTTGGGAAGAAAAGCTTTTAAGAAATGAAACTCGTAATAACGGCTTTTACACGGCCCTAATACCTAGAGACGATTTCACACACTTAATTCTATTCCACTGGTAAACATTAAGAATTGATGACTTAATGTTACTGAATGGTATGGCTATACTGTTCATTTCCTACACAATTTACAAACTTGCTTCCTGTCTCATCTGTAAATGTGTTTCTCTGTTTCTTTCATTTAAGATAAAAGTATAAACTTGATGTTATTAAATTTGTTGTTCTAACATTGTTTCCGGTGTTAAAGAAGTTGCAAGGCAAATACGCATAGTATTTGGTACACGAAAGGCTAACTTAGAGTCGTACGATGCAGCCTGACGCAATTCATTGTCTGGGACAGTCTTAAGCTGTCGTGAGAATTATAAAACATGTTTAATATTCTACGACGCGACTGCTCCTGACGCAAACCATCACATCTGCGTTTAACTCACTCAGATTTGATGCGAAAATAAAACGCGTCGGGTTGCGTAGTACGATGCTGTCTGAGTTGGCCTCAAGAGAAATTCTGTTCATTTCAAATGTTTTATATGAGGTCCTATTGTAACATTATTATGTAATCGTTAAGATAAAATTAATTAAATGAATATTAACTGTAATGAATCTGAAAATATGAAAAGAAAGTTATATATAACAGAGCTCGAATAATGATAGGTAACTAATTTGAATAAAGGTGAACATATAAATATATGATAGGATGTAATCAAATATAACATAGTAGTTTACACAGGGTATATTTAATGTTAGATTTAAAACACTGTGGTGAGCCTACAATACAGTACAGTAGCATTTTTTTTTTTTTTTTTGTAGCAGTAAGTTATTACAATATTGTCCGCTTGTGCTTATCATTGTCTGTCTGTACATAGCACTTGAATTGAGAAGTGGATAAGGTATTAGTTACACAAAGCCAACATTTTATCCATATTTGTAGCCTTTATCCTCCATATTTATATAGTATAATAAAGTGTTGGTTTGTCTCATGAAGCACTATAATGTTATTAGTGTTGCTGACATTTCAACTGGTTCCATAGCTACCAGTATCTCTCTCTTTATTACAATTCAGTCACCGATAGGTCATTCATTTATTGCCTACTAACATTTCAGATACTGGTATTCAAACATTGTTCATTGTGTTTAGTTTATTTTCAGAAATAATAAAACTTAATGAACTGCCAATATTTCATGCCATATCTCAAGGTTCTTTTTAAATATGTAAACTTGTTTCAAACATTTCATTTCATTTATTTATTCGACCATATAAACATTAAAAAGCATAAATACAACAAGGTACAACAAAAAAATGGTCAGGGACAGCTAAAGTAAATACATTACTATAACTTAAAAGAATCAGCCCAAAACATAAAAAGATAAACATAAATATTACACATAATAGAAAAGCTTATAAAAATATATGACATTTTTTGTCTGCTTCTCTTCCATTTTGTTTTTGTTATATAACAACTTTTAAGCTATAGGTAAACATATTTAAAATATTTATCATTTCTTTATGATGTATATGTAATCATTTTATGATGTTTCAAATAATTGATAGTGTATAAATTTGATAATAATTAATATAATATTAAATCAGTTAGAGAGCTCTGAATATCAGCCTAGCTGGGAGTGTCATCCTCTATAAAGATTTAAAAAAAAAAGTAATTATTATTATAAATATACATTAATTCAGACTTACAATAAGAAAAGTAAACTCTTAATTTCTTTTCTATCATTTGAGAATGGACCTTTCTGCTAAGCTCCGCCCCTTGGATATTGTTGCTAAGGTCCCACAAAGCGACAGTGTTAAAACATACGCAAACACATGCGTTTGTGGGACAACATGTGTATTTGTTAGATGTGGCCCTGTTCTGATTGGTCAACTGTTAATTTTGATTGACAGGTCTGGAAAAAGTACCATTGCAACCATTTGTAACAAACACAATGGTGTTTTTTTTTGTTTTTTTGTTTTTTTTTATTCATATTTTTTTTAAAGAAATTAGTACAGGTGTTTACTAAGGAGTTAAGATGATCTGTACAAACCAATGATTTTTCTCTGGGCTATTTAAAAAAAATTATCTTTTATTTTTATTATTGTTTTCTGTATATTATTTGTACTGTTATTGTGAGTAATATTTGTTGTGTTTTGTATTACATCTACAGTAGCAGAAATAATTATTTTTCTTTTTTGCATTAAATCAAACTTACCTTTTCAGTAAGTCTATACTGTATAATATATTCTTAACTTTTATCCGCAGGCAAAACGTGCGTTTAAAATGGGAGCCGTGGCTATTATTTTCATTATCACTGAAAACCCTGATGCTGGAACGAAGGCAAGTACAACAATATCAATGTCAATTTTCTCACTTTTTGTGTAGATTATCGAGATTCATTTTTATGGACCTTTGTTGGTTTGTTACTGCATTGTCCAAAATGAATTTTCGAAAATTAATGTATTCTCACTTGCAAGAACATTAATTCTAATTAATTGAGAGGCAATATGCTCGACATCTTAAGTACACCGCTCTTGTATTGTCATAATTGTAATGGTTATTGTTACAATGTTCGCTGCAAAATGATGCTTGCTTAATAATAGTACATTTTAGTGTTTGCAATATTTTTTTGAGTCATTGTTAATATAGCTTTTTTGTTGCATTATTTATGATTAGTAATAAGTATAATTATGTGTACGTTTATTTTATGCTTATTCCAATAAAACTATTATTCATAAGAGCATTATGATTAGAATTCTGTGCACTTTTGTTTGTATTGTGCCAATTGAGCCATGTTTTAAATTATGGCATTGTAATTTTTATTCTTCAGCTGTTTCAACAGCAATCATTTTTTAAGAATAAAAACATGTTTTTTAAGATCACTAATTAAAATACATCAAATACAAATGAAGAACAATTAATCAGCAAAAAATTTAAATAAATGATCATTAAATTAGATACTGACTAACCCAAATCAAAATTAAAACTTAACTAAATTAATTACTATTTTTACTGTCCTGGATGGATAGAATCTTTGAAAGCTTATACAGGTTGTTGTTAGTAAGGCATCAAAGCTTTTGCTTTTGTTTTCAGGTCTGTTAAACTGGTTTTTTTCATGCATTTTCTTTTCATTGTCATTATTTAATTACATCCAACATTGCTTTTGTTAAGTGCTTTTTCTTTCTTTTTTTTGATTTCCTTGATTTTATTGTCTTTTTTCCAAGTAACATACCATTACTTAGTAAACAAATAATAATTTGAGATTATAGTATCAAATTATGAGAGAATCTATTTGTTTTGTTTTTTTAATTTTAATCTATCTTTGATTTAATTTTTGCAGCGTTTTAAGTTATTTCAAATATCAGTATTTTAATGTTCATTTAAATTTGACATTTTTCCAAGTGTTTGACCTCGATAGAAGAACGCCAGGGGTTACAAATATGAATTTTTATTAAACCTTAGTCTGGATTTAGATTTGTAAACACAGAGCTGTGAAAGTGATGATGATTTGCCTTAAAACTCAAATAATAAGAAACACAAATGTGAAAAACTGCAGAAACTTTCCATCGAATACAATGCAAATCAAGCCTGTCAAGAAATGTTGAAATGGCCAGCGTGGTGCTGAGGCTTCTCAGCTGTGTATGTTTTACGCATTAGAGCCCATGCCAAGAAACTCAACGGACACTTGCTGTGTTAGTTTGATGTTAGTAAACTGCGAGCACTGTTCAGTACTGTTTCTTTCTAGAGCAATGAAGTTTTGTGAACTTGTTTCTTGCTTTGTGCATTTGCCAGGTTCACTGACCTGCTAATGTGGTATCCTTGGTATTCCTCTTGATAGCTCTAGGCCTAACTTCTTTATTACACTTTCATCACTGTCCCTTATCATTAAGTCTTAACCGAATTTGCATCTATTTGTAAATTATACATATTTTTTTTTAACTTTCTCCTAAGCTATCAATCAGGCTACGGATTAAATATTGTTCAGGGCTTTATCGTAGATTCTATATTTATTGGTTTCTTATAAGATAAGTGAATCATTTTGAATGAGTGAATAAATGAATACTTTAATGTTTGTTTAACATTAATTTAGATAAAACAATTCATACATAACTCGGCAATGGACGTTTTGTGGTAATTTTTCTTCATGGTTATGTGGTTAACTTCAAACAAAAAACCAAGTCCTTGTAAATATATTTATTGTGACTAATGTTTAGAATACTTTTCATGCACAAACATGGTTTGAGAATTTTATGAAATTGCAGCATTCAGAGAGTACCATTTGCACTGCCTGTCCAGATCTGGTTTGAATCCTGACTTAAAATCATTATCTAAATTTCAATTCTACTGTCATTGTATTTGTAGTAAGTAGTCAGAAATCATAGCGCAGATGTGTCAGACCAATTTATTCTCACAAAACTTGCCATTAATATAAGGGGGTACAATGAGGGAGGGGGGGGGGAGAAGGAGCTATGACATGGATACACCCCCAAAAGCTGACTGTAACTTTAGCTGTTTGGCTAAAAAAAAAACCCCAAGCATTTCCATTAGCAATACAGTAGTTGCTAAGTTGAATGTGACAATTAAACAGGTGATTCCATCATGTCGCACTGTTGCAAAGGTTGTATTTATCCTTCAATGATGACTGTGCAACAGCATACCCAATTCCCTTCTTCAATCACCAGTTTATTTACCGTAAAGCTTTTTTTTTGGAAGTATTAAAGCGCTATAAAGTTTACCCATGTTATACCTGTGATTGGCTCATTTCTGGCCCTAATTATTTTATGTGGGACTATCGACTTGTGCGTGCCATTTTAAGATTAGAATTCAACATGCTCTACAAATACATGCTTTTTGTGATGATAGTACTGGAGCTCATTGGTACCGGTATTTCGGTTAACTACAAGGATAGTCTGAACCTATATTGGCCTTTGATAATTGCCTCCTCCGTGTGCGTAAACTTACCTATTCTATGTGAATTTTGAGCTTAATTTATGGTAAAATTTAAAAATAAATGCTAATACTTAAACCTCACATTGAGAGTGCTGCCAATTATTTAATGATTGTAGAATTTGTAGAAGAATTTCTAATTTGGTAACAAGGCAACAAAGAGTTTAGATCTAGCTTCGCATATTTTTTTTCCTACATCCTGAAATTGTTAAGTGTACATGCTGTAAAGAAATAAACATTTGAATATAAGTTTTACATATTTCCTGCCAATCTAAACAAGTAGAACTCTCTTTTGAACTTGCTTTCTTCTGCTCCATATTTGATCATGAAGCAATAAAGAAGGGTGTCGTTATGTATTTCATCTAATACTACGCATGAATGCCCACAAAACGTTTCCTTCGTACAACTATGGTATATTGTCTCTCCTCGGTTCTGGTAAAACTGGCTGTGTGTTTCATGTTTTCTAATATCTGTTCGGACAACTTTAATAAGCAAATCCAATTTCACAGAGATTAAGTTTTAAATCTTGCAGTCTGCTTAAGCCCATGGGGTTTTAATCATTCTGGCAGTAGTAGTCTGAAACAGTAGTAAACACAAATATGAAAAAAAAAACCCAATTAATGTCTTGTACAATGCAATTTATAGACATTTAAATGCAGTTTATGTTTGAACTCGGGTTTAATTTATATTTAATAGTTTAGGCCAAATAAAAAAAATTACTTAGCGTCATCACCCTCTCACCTGAATTTTTGAGCAGGATTTTTTTTTTATTGAAAAAGAATTGTCTAGGAAATGCTAATCTAAATAAGTATTTACCAATTTTAAATGAATTAAAACAATGATTTCACCAACCAGGTGTAATATTTATTGCCCTTTTGAAAATAAATAATTTTAAGAGTTTTTAGATTTCTGAATAAAATTTAGAATATTTAATTTTTAATTAGTCCTAAATTTCATAGTTTTTGAAGGTAGTTGAAGTTACTGAATTATTTATTTTTAATATATAATTACAGGATTTTCTTGAATAATATAAATTTTGCCATACTATGTGCAAAAATATGTCTTAAAAAAATATGTAAAAAATGTGAATATGACTATTCAGTAATATATAAATAAATTCCTTAGATTGCGATTATGATCTCATTGCTGCCAGGATAAAAGCCACCAATTTACAAAAACTACCGAAAGACCGATTATTACAAATGATACTGTATGTATAGTATGTGATAATATCAAGGGACATCGGAGCAATAAGTCTTTGCCTGTTTACAACTAACAATGAACGCATTTCCGAAATATACAATAACAGATAATAATCAGAATGTTGATCATAATGATAACAAGAATGAAAAAGAGAATATTGTTCATCCCTCACCTAATTAAAAAAACTACATCTACTTCTATTGTAATTATACAGTACTCTACTGTTTATAAATCCTCCTCTGCTATGCCTAGTGGAGCGTCAGTCTGGTTAATTTCAAATCGGTAAATATCAAAGGACAGTAAATGAGGACTAGTTGTGGGAAATTGGTCGTTGCAGTGCCCATTTTTTAACATTCGGAGACATAGGTTCCCAGCTGTAGTCTTTTCCTCTTTTAAAGCCATAAATAATAATAATAATAATAATAAAATTAATTAAATTAATTAATTATTTAATCCTATCCTCAAATAATTTCTCTGGCTTCATTACTTCGTTAAATTGAATCCTATTGATTGAATCCATTTGTTAAGTCAGTTGAATGTTAGATGCAAATTAATGTGTCTTAAATGAAATTAAACATTTTATTTGTATTGCCTATTTTTTGATCATTAGAATGTGCATCCAATGATTGCAATCAGATGGTAAACCAAAACAAAAAAAATCATTCTCAATAAAATTGTAGCTTTATAAGCTTCAGTAATTTTTTTTTTTATTATAGCTAAAGCTTAATGGACTAATATTGTAGTATCAATGAGAAAAGAATATTAATAATTTATCAAGTAAAAGCTTATCGTATGAAGTTGGTATGAATTATTAGCAGGACGCGGCAAAGATGAAACACGGCATATGGTTTGAAACTGAGAAAACACCAATAATTGCCGGTAGTTTATCTGCAGGCAAATATCGAAGATTCTGATGTAGCCATTACCAATATATTAACACATGCTATGGTACTTATAGATCAAACATTATATTATATATCTGATTGCTTCAAATTAAGTTTCTGGTTTGTTGCATGAAAACAGATCATGTAAATAGGGAGGTTACAACACAAGCAGAATAATATAAATGAAGATAATGATGATATTAATTTATTCATTATTCTTTTTTCTAATTTCATACCACATTTTGGATTACAGTTTTATTTGTTACTCGTACAGTAATTGTGCCAGCCAAAGATGTTTTGTCCCTTGGACAAAATGATAGATGCCACTTGAAGTCAGAATGAAAATACCTGAATATCTACCATGAATTTATAATTGAAATTCCTAATTGTTTCCATCCTAAACTATAAAATCTCATCCTTTGATTCCCAGAAGAGGCTCCATTCAAACTTGTTGGACCCCCTGTTGGCAAATTTTTGGAGCACCACTGTTTATTACCTGAAAATTGACATTTTAAAAATTCATTGTTATTTTTTATTTTCACACAATTGAAATATAAAATTTTACTGGTTAAGGTGCCTGTTTCCAACTAAATGGTCTTAGATTTAAATCCCCAAAATTCAAAGAGTAAGACTAGTCATTTCGTAGGCTAGGCCTAGGTAGGAATGATGCTAGCCAGCCAAGGCCTACAACATCGCCCAATTGAAGTCACGTGGGCCGTGTAGATCGTAATGCTTATCTAAATCTATTATTTGTCTTCATTTTACAGTAGTATTATCATATTTAAAATGTTGTTTATTATCTAAAAACAACAAAATTCAACATATTGTAGGCCTAATCTTACCGTCCGTTTAAACGCAATCACAATCGCATCGTGACTTCACTACTGACAAGTACATGTACATGGATGTGGGGAAAATCCCTGATAGATCATTCTGGGGATGCGCATGTAATGATACGATCGTAGCTTTTACGAAAGTGATATTTCCCATGCCAAACATCAACGCTAAAACAAAATTTATTTGGCGATTTTCTTATGTAAGACATATGTATTATACTACACTATTAAATTAATATAAGTACGACCATTCTTTCACCAGCAATATATTGATTTAATAGAGAAATTAACAAAATCACAATCTGTAGATTACGATGTAAGGTCGAGCGTTCGGAATAATCGTAGTTTATACTATATAGGCCTAGGTAGTAAAAAATTGTCGAGGCTGCCGACCTCGGAGAATTTAATTTTAATCTTTCCCAAATTTCATGGGCTGTCGTTGGCGATTTTGCCATCCTCCATTCGGCTGACATGGCCAAGCCATCTCGGAGGTCGTTGGGTTAAAAAGAGCAAACATGCTTTGGATTCCTGCTTTTTTCTGCTTGAATATCGAATATCATACTTGATGTCTGTTGTGCTTAATGGTGTCCTCTGGGTATTGTATTGCACAATGTTGTATTCATTAATGTATTGATGTTGTTTTTTGTAATGTTCTCATTTCATATTTACATGTTGTTTTCATTTTGTCGGTCCCGCTGTTTTGACACCTGTTTTTTCCTATGTTTAGATTTGGTATTATATGTAAAATAAGTATTCGCATAGCCTCCGGTGAACTTGGATGTTTAAATTCACAGTTTGAGAACTTGCCATACATACTCATGTTAAGAATGAAAAACTGATGTTATGGTTTCAGTCTTCATATTTTTAATTGATTTTACTTTAAGATTTGAAGTTGCACTACCTAGACGTTCTTGGTAATAATTTAGGAAAAAAAACTTAATAGAAATTAGGAGATGTTAATTTAAATGGGATTCCCATCAGTTGATTGGAAGAATAATAATTTGCTTTTGGTTTTTTACCCTAATTTTAATTTGTTGTTGTTATACTTGTAATCTGTTTTAATTCTGATTTCAGATGATTATAGTTAAATCAGCATGCATTGTGTATTTTGTAATTCAAGAGGTTGGTTTGTGTGTTTTTGTTGGGTGGACAACAGAGGTGCTTGACCTAACAAGCAAGGGATGAAAAGCAATTAAAAAGGGGTGAAAAGTATCTGACCTCAGTAGATCTCAAATCATTGGCATTTATTGATATTTTACTGCAGATGTGAAGTTCTGAAGAACTCAACACCATTTTTAAGTGTTGAAAAACATCTGGATTTTGTAATTAATTTTATAAATGAAAGACACTATTGTATTTAACTAACAATTAAGAAGTATATTAAAATATTTGCAATATTTGCATTAATATATTTTAATTTTTCTATTGTAATTCATGGCGTATGGCAGTAAAAACAGATTTTTACAATATTGTATTTACAAATTTTTGGAAATTCATGAATATACTGTATGTTTGTCTAAAATCCACTACAATTGTTTTGTCCTGTCCTGCATTGTCTACATTTTTTATGAAAACAGATCATTGACTGCTTGTTGCTTATACTGTATTTAAATTTATTTTTTTAAAGCATAATAGTTATATTGCCTTCACTATATATATATACTAGCAGTTACCAAAGTGTTTACTACCTGGCTGCACAATTACTAGCGAATTGAAAGTAGTTGTTGTTATGTTAATTTTTCGGTTTTTTTTTTTTGTATATGATCATAAAATGGCTTGATGAATTTGATTGAAACATAAAATATAGTTATGTCCACCACTTTATAATAGTAAAATCGTGAAAAATTAGCCTGAGGGGAGGGCCTGCGCTGTCTACAGTAGGCCTTGGTGTGCTGAGTGGAAGTACAAGGTGGCTGGTTGAGATAAAACAAGCAGAGGAAGACTCGGCCATGAAGGAAGTTAATAGCTAGCATTGTATTGAGATAGGATTACTTCACTGTCGGCAACATCAAAGAACCAAGCCCTAATCAATAAGCCAACAAAAGCAGTGTAGCTTTACCATAACCATTCAGGCTGGTCTACGCCAGGATTACCAAGAAATGATCTGATGGATTGTCTCGCTTCTCAAAATGATTGTAAAATAAATAATAGCAAAAAGATATATAACAAGAAATTTGATTGGATAAATTTAAATTCACTCACCCACTCATATGAGGTTGAAGATATATAACTGTACATGAAGGTCATTTATTTGGAATTAAATTCTCAACTAGATTTTTATTGTTTATCCTACACTTTCATGTTTTGTAATTTATTTAAAATTCTTAATATATTTCTTTATAGACCATGTAAAGTGTGAGTGTATAAAATCATCATCAGACAAAACTAGATTTGAATAACTGTATGAGGTATTAATACAAGTATTACTTTTAATTCTGATTATTAATAACTACTGTATGAATTGAGATGATGATTATTTGTACATGCATCCTGTGCAAAAATATCAAGTGCGCGCTAATCTTGCTATTTCGGTTTACTTCAGAAACAAAACACTAAAAAAAAAACATCAAAGGCGGGACGAGACTTATACTTCCTCTGAATCTAAATAAGCAGCAAGCTGGCGCATCAGTAAAAAGAAAAAAAAAGAAATACCAAGAACCAATCTCTGTACTTGAAGTTCAATGTAGCTATAAGGTCATCCACAAACTAGAGTGTCAATGACCGACCTTTTACGGAGGATTCTTGTCCAACATTTGAGCTACGCGGCTCGGGAGAGAAGTCAAAGAACTGCTCAGTGAAGGGCGTTAATGGAATGAACTAAAGAAATGATGAATGCACAATATAATTTAATTCGCTATGAAGTTATTAATTTTACACTGTACAATTCAGTGTCTGTGGATATGTTTTGCGACTACAACTAGCACTGGATTAACCTGAAAACTAATTAAACGATGTATAATGATAATAATGATATTTTATTTATACTGTGCGAATTCCAATTAAAATTGTTCACTGAAGCGTTACAATTAAAACATCAACATCTAATAATAAGTTTATGATTATCTTATGAAATCCAATTAATATTCTAAATCAACAAATATCAATATCAATGAAATTTAATTATAGTACCATATTGTATTGCAGTTAAAAACACTACTCCTACTTAGTACGAACATCAATAACGCTGTTCATGCTTTATCAGCATAATACATGATTTGCAAAATCTGTTCATTATGAGTGGTCCTCATTATCATATTTATCATCATTATTATCGTCATCATCATTGTTGTGACCTCTGCTACAATCATCCTCACCATCATCATTTTGAAGTTTGTTGCTAGTCCATGCAAGCCAGGTTTAGACTCTTCTATTCTGCATAATTTTGTGAAGTTCTTTCCAATCCTCCCTGTAAGAAAAATTGTGAAGTAGCTGAATGAACGAGTAAAGTGGCAAAGTGATAAGGCAGCGGCGCTTCTAACTACAGCCTTAACATCAGCAATGGTTCAAGTTGCTCTTCGCCCAGGGCTTAGTTGGTAGAACCAAGTCTTCTCAGATACGGACTTCAAAACGCGAGGTCCAATGTCTACATCTGGCTCTTGTGCACTTTCCATTGCATCTGTTGGAAGAGTAGGAGTTTTCAGAACCTGTCGTTGTGGAATGATGTAAACCAATCACCTCTTATACGGCTGCTACAAGTTATGGGTTATTTTTCTACCTTTATCCTAACTTTTACATGAACATACACGGGACTAAATGTCCCTTCTGAGAGACCTAGTATTATAGCCTGCATTCACATGGACAATATTTTGATGGAATAGAACAAGAGGCAAATATTTTATAGTTCAGTACACGCACAGTTGTTACTACCACATTTAACCATCAATGCTATGCATCTTCTTCAAGAACCATTGCTTAAAAATAATGAATACACCAAGATTAATGTAAGAAAACAAATTAGATTTAAAAAATCATACATAGAAGTAGTATACTGTACAGTACATATAAAATAAATAAATATAAGACAAGTTATAAATTATGCTGAAGATATTCAAATCTGAATGCCTCCTGTTGCAAAGAGACTAGCACTTGGTCACTCGCATCAGATAATAAAATTATATGGCAATCACACTAAAGCATTAAGGATTAATATAGTACTGTATATCTTATCAAGTAATATTGCAGGTCACTGATTAGATAGTACTTAAATTATTGTATGGGTATTAGATCCACAAGGTTGTCCAACAGAATTTCTTAATTTTAATAATGAATTAGTAAAGCAGGTGTGTTTGTGGTGTGATTTATAATTCATTATGTAAAATTCTCTTTGTTGTCAATTCTTTTATTGGTGTTCTATATTAAGATTTCATAATTGAATGTGGGAATTAATTTTTTTACTATTATTAACAATCAGTTTTTCTGTTTTCCAATTATTATATTGTGAATAATATAAAAAATGTTTTAAATAATAAATAAATAAATAATAGAATTTATGAAACTTCCTTTTCTCATTGTTTTTAAATTAAATTGAACATAAATATAAATTCAATTCAATTTATTATACATTAGAATTATAGTGATGTAGCAGTTGAAATTGAAGTCATGCAAATACCAAAGTTTTTTTTTTGTCAAGATAAATTATATTTGTGGCTTATCTTACATAGCAAAATACTACATTATTTTGCTTAAACAATTTTTTCAAAAGATTCTTGTAAATTTAGTGAAAGTAAAATACCTCGTTTCTCTTCATCCTCAGGAAACACTAAAACACATCGTAAAAACAAACCACTGTCAGAAATAGCTTGTGAACAAGTACTTACTTTAAGAAACTATCTCGCATCAAAATTAGTCAAATATGTTTTCTGTTCATTGATAATTATTTCATTGCAGTACTATAATTAGTTAAGTTTGACTAAGAAAAGAGATAAAAAGGAGCACTTACTGACTTGGATGATGATTGAAGTTATATAAGTAGTTCAATTAATTGTTTTTTATATACATTTAAGCTAAAACATTACAGGCAAAAAAAGTAGTGTATTTTCTGCTTAAATGTGCAAAATGGCTTCAAGATTATTTGCCTTTACTAGACAGTATGTTATCTGACTATTCTTTGTGTTATTAATTACCAATACAGAAGTTAGCTAGATGAATAAAATATTTAAGATGCTTTATGAATTTGTAATATCGAAGCTATTTTGTGCATTACTATGCAATATTAACACATTCATACGAATGCTATTCATTCTATCGCTATTATTGGGGATGCAAACGTTTTTCACTTTGGACAATGGGAGCAGTTTGTATATTTTAGAATATGGTATTTTCGTTGAAAACACAACACCTAGGCAGTGAAAATGCAGCTGTTTTAAACAGCACAAATTCATCCGGTAAACATTAAAAATATCAGGGAAGAATGTATGGTACGACGACCATTTACAGGAAGGAGACAATACTAAACACAGTACAGTAGTACTTCAGTACTGTATACCCCTCATAGGAACTGATTCATGTGTATGATAGCGCATGATGATAAAAACCATACTTAAAATATGACCATAAAATCAACCCCTCAGGAAACTGAAATAATGATGAGGAGCCAGTTCCTTGTTAAAGTTTATTAATGAGCGATCATTAATGTCAAGAGGAGACAGTTTTTCAGGAAATAAGGAGTCAAAATATTTTATGAGTTGTTAAGAAGCAATAAAATGCCATGTTAATTTGGAGTTAAGTTAAATTAATGTTTAATTATTGTCAACCACTACAAATCAGGCAGAATCTAATGTGTTAGTAGAACAGGAATAATATGTTGTGATAATATGGAGCTAATGGTTCAGGTGGTGTCTTCCGTTTTTCAAGGTCCTGGTTTGAAATTTGAAAAACAATTTACAATCCCATCCTCGTGCAAATTAGGATATTCAAGGCTTTTTGTTAATAATATCGTCATCAACCCCATCATAATCCATTTAAACATTTTAGAAATGAAATAGCTCTCCATCTTTTTTTAAACATCTGCAGCAACCTTACAATTCATCCACTCTACTACCCAACCACTATATCATTCCACCTCTGTGCTATCCAACCATCTTAGATACCTTCCTTAATACAATGTACAAAATTATTAAACCAATTGCTTCTCCTCATTGTGTTACTCTATCGTCACATTATTTCTCTTTTGTGCTGCCCAACCAACACACCTTCCCTTCCCTATGCCACCTAACGCAGTGGCGGATATACTGTAGGGGCCCGGGGAGAGACTTTACAGATAGACGGTCCACCCACATCGTGTGTCTGAATGTAATGGAGTGCTTTAAAATTAAGTATTAGCTGTGTAAATATCGTATTCTATTACAGTATTCCTTTAATATATAATCTTGTTCCTGCATTCTGAATATGAATAGATCAGTTTTAAAAGGCTGTAGAGAAAAGAATTCAGTCTTTAGAATTTGACTGGGAAAATATGAAACTTGATCTCAGCCATTTTTTATCTCTCAAGATCATCTTGTATCTATTGACAGGTCTCGGTTCAGCCATGTTGGTAAATATTGTTTGATCTGCCCGATTGAAGAATTACAAGGTTCTCAGTGGACTTGATCGTTACTGACGAGAAAAAAGCAGCTATTATTAACGGCATTATATCCAACTTGAACTTACAATGGGCATGAGTTGGCTTGTTTTAGCTGCCTATTTGATCGCTTAATTCAAAAAGGCTTTCACCGTAGAACTTTTATCCATCACAAATTACAAAACTATTTCACACACTGCAAGTGTGTTCTACATGACTTGCTGCAGTCGAATAGAATGCTTTGTAGCTTGTTAGCAACGTAGTTGATGTAAATCAGAGCTTTGTAATGATACATCGGCAAGATCAAACACACCGACCTCAAAAGAACTTAACAGTCATTCAGTAAAACTCAACAATAAAAGTAATAGCTTCGTTTCACATCGTTGGCCACATTCACTGCACAGTATTTTTCATGGCCTTCTTATCTCTTGCTGTTTTCTGTATGATTTCAATTGATCTCAGTTCATTCTTATCTTTTTTTTTGCTGAAGATTCTCTAAAATCAAGACCTACCAAATAATAGAACCTCAAGTAATCTTTGGCCCTACCTGTAAATGTAAATACCAGTTGTTGTATTGGTATACATCGCAACAAATAAAACACTGTTTACTAGTTTATATCCAACATATGGAATTTCATGCCAAAACCAATGACACTGTTATGGCCGCTGGCATAGGTCATTGGGTCAACCTGTTTGGCATATCTTCTTGAGAGAGTTTGCGACTATGTACTCACCCTGAAGAGGTTCACCCTCCTGGCATATTAATATTTGATTAGGTTAGGTTATAGTTTTACTGCTGGCAATGTGTTTCTCCTATCGGGAGTTGTTCATTCCAAGGAAAATCATTTATGCTAATTACGAAGCAGTTTAGATACCAGTGGACGATGAGTGAAATGTTGATTGCAGTCGGCCTGGTGTTAATTAGGTTTTTTATGGGTTGTTGGCATGTAAATCTGTTCTAACTAGACCAAAAAGAAAACCTGCAATAGTGATTATTTTGGTAATCCTAGGCTTTTCGTTGTTTTCAAACATAAATAACATGATATGATTTTTTTAAATAGCAAAACTATATTGAAAACATTTCCTTAATGCAAAAGGAAAACATCAAAGCAAAATATTTACTGGTATGTGTAGTAATGAACTTCTTGGATCTTATTCTCAGTTGATTTCCTTATGTTGTTACTGTAGCTACATTTGAATAAATGTGCGGACAGTATGTATGTACAGTATTATGTACAATATGTATGCGTGTGTGTATGTATGTATGTATGTATGGATATTCTTTCTCAATATTTAATATTTTTGCTTACCAGTAATTTTAATTTTAGAGACTCATTGCTCCCACATAAATAAAGAGACTAACGAGATCAAAACATAATTATACTATGTCAAACAAAATATTTTATGGTGCAGTGTGTCTTTAAACTTAAATAAATGTTAAACCAGGCTGCCTGTGATTAATCACATCTATACAGTAGTTATTTGTTCGCCATCAAATCTAATTTTATTTTATTCTAATTTTAACCGGTGGCCATGACTTAAAGTTTGTACAAACTTATTTTGGTCTCCATCCACACACTTATTTATTTGATTTCTAATTTACAGTATATATGAAAAGTTTTTTCTACTTTTGTAATATTAGTTTAAGTTTGCATTCACTACTTTTTATGTTGTGTGTGGAAAAACCAATAAAACAAACAAACAAACAATAAATCTAATTAACGTTTATCAACAGTTGTTCATTTAAACTATACAACCATTGTTAACAAATTAACTACCATCCACATTACTTTTGTATAGCCATAAGCACTACTTAAGTATTTTCCTTAGCTGTGTCTCCATAGGAATTTTTTGACCAAGAGGAATGGTAACTTTACCTTGGTTAGACCATACCAATAGGTCCCATAGGTAAATTTGATTGGCCAAAGTTTATAAATTATATAAATTAACATAACTGAATTCTTCTACTGGTACAATACAACTCATTCTTGAATTGGCAAATGGAAAAAAAATCAGGTCCTACATTTTTCCCATAGCCATCAAATTTAATTTTTATAGAACTAGAAGTATGTTTATCCAGGTTTGTAAAGTATAGGACCTAAAAAAAAAACCGGAAAATCATCTTGTTATGTAGCAGTGGTTCTTTTGCTTGTTAGCAATTTTTGATTTGATAAATATTTTACTCGTAATAAAATTTATTATTATATATTTCTATGTCACCTGATGTTGAGGAATGAGTACGGCACTTTTTGAATGGCCTCTCTTGTGTTTTAGGCAGAAATGAAATATTACTGTACAGGATACAGTGTACATTTAAAAGATTGTTTACTTCAGGTATCCATCACCGAGGGGATAATTCTGACCCCTTGCTCCACTTCTCTATGCTTTTATCAAATATATTAAAATTCAATATTTTGAATCAACATCAGTGCCATATAAATGTATTCAAAAGTGTTTCTTGTTGAGATTTATGAAAGGAAAAGAATGAAGATATTGAAACGAGTGAAAATATTAGTGTCTACATCAATAATATGATTGTACAAAGTAGAGAGCATTAAGATCCCTGGGGACATCAGATACATCCAGTAATGGAAATGTTTTGACAGACAATTAGTAATTTAACATGTTAACAGTATTATACTGTAACTTAGATGGTTTGACTAGGAAGTGGGATGGGGATGGAAGGTTTAATTTTTATTATAGATTTATTTATAATACACAATGTATGGGAGGTTGTGGTGGGGTGGGGGGGGTGGAGTGGTGAACTAAAGTATATTTTGTGCGATATACAATTGAGGTGTACTGTATGAAAGAAATGCCTTATACCAAAGATCTTATAAACACAAGATAGCGTTCTCCGCGATTTACGCGTGCAAATTCTGTAATAAGGCATGAATGGCGCCCTCTTGCTAAATTACTCTTTGGTAATACGAGTTAACATTAATAAAGCTGATTGAATTTGAATGTGGTTTAGTCTTTATGTGAATTCTTGTTCAATCCCACCATTGCTTGCCAGTAGTTTCATCTAGTCCTGACCGGGAGTGGAGTTGGATTTGAACGACCGCCGTACGACCGTCGCAAGATGCAATTAGTGCCTGGCTTTATAATACCATTACATTACATTTTTTGGGACACAACGTTTATAGCTGTTGGTCCATTATGTAATATTGCCTGTGCGCACATTTAAAGAATGCATTATACTCTTTTGAAAAGAGGTTAGGTTGCTTCCTGGTGTGTTGCCCAATTCACCACCAAAAAGACCCACTGGAAAGAAGTCTTAATTTTGTTTCTTAACCTGGGTTTTGTTTCACAGGGAATAAAATCTCATGATACTAGATCCAATTCCTACAATTATGTTATCAGTTAAAGCGCTTATATCTTTGATAAATAAAATATCAATGTTGATAAAATATTTAGAGGAATTTATTGAAATTCATGTCATTTAGTCATTGACTGCCAGCATTGTGTACTGGTGTTCTGAAAATAAATAAGTAATGATTTCATAAAATTGTAAAAAAAAGAAGTGTAGTGAAGATAAAATGTGAAAATAAAAAAATCAGTAAATAAAAGGGAACAACGATGGTAAAAATGCTGGGTACTTTGAACAATATAAATAGTGCTTTGCCCTAATATTGTATCAAATGATGGTAGTAATTTTGCCATGTATATTTATAGGCTGGTTGATTAGCTTAATAAGTAGTTCGAGTTGAAATTATTCCTTTTGACCATTATTACTTTTATTATGTTGTTAGCAATGATCTATTAAAATGAGAATATAGTGCTTCTGTGTATTTGTATATTCTGTATGTGCAAATTTTTCTACCATTTTGTGTTATTAAGTATTAGGCTAATGTTTTGTTGATTGTGTTAATATTATCATAATGACAATGAGGGACAATTGTGAGAAATATAAGAAATTAAACGATATTTTAAGTATTTGTTATAATCTCTATGTACTTTTGGTTGTTTTTAGTTGGAGAAGGACGCTGAAGAGAAGAAGGTCCTTGATCAGCCTATCGTCACGATTCAGGGAAGAGATGGACAGAAAATAATGAAGCTAGTACAGACACAGGTAGCTGCAAAAGCCAGCTTGGAATATACCACCAGTGCCATTCTACCTTCCACTGTTCCTCCCTCTGATAAACCACTTCAGGTAAGATACAAGGTACTGTACAAACTAACTTTTATTCATTCATTGCTGAATAATAAAAATATAAGAATAATCAATAAATTATTATGGGGTTTTTTTTGTGTTTATAATGGGAGCTTTGTAAAAAATGGAAACGATGTTTCTGTTTATAGTTATTGTTTTGGATGCTTGTCTGTCCGTTTGTCTACCCTTGTGCATTACTCTATATACATCTTAATAACCTATACCATGATTTACAGTAATTTGGAAGGAAGACAAACCACTTTTGATGGTATTTAGGTTTGCCAAATGTGATTAAATTTCATTGTTGGATCACTTTCATTATATTTCATTTAAAATCTAAAAAAATTTTTTCACATGAAAAGTTAGCCTTACTTAATCTAGATGACTAAAAACTGAACTCCTTTTTTTCTAAATTGATTCTTCCTTGAGATATTTTCTAAGAAATATATAAATTATATATAAGGACAAATCTAAGTGGATTTATGTAGAACATGCAGAGAATTCAACATTTGATTTTTTCATTTGGATAATGAATAAAAGAACAGATTGAAAGTAGTGAGTATTTGTGAGAGATTTACCGCTAATACAGATGCTTTTAAATTCTAAATGAGAAATTCCTGCCTTAGAATCTTCTCTTTAATTGCAACATCTGTTTAAGTCAGCCTAGCAAATAACCTGTAATTCCAACTAATTTGTTGTTTAAAAAAAAAAATTATTATAATTTTCTGTTTTTATGAGTAGATTTATTGTATGGTATGTGCGTATTTGGCTAAAGTATGTGAAAAATATTTTATAATGTGATTAGGATTTTTCACAATCAGATTTGAAAAAAGAAAAAAAAACATGGAAAATAATATTGAATGGTAATTTCTGTCGGCTTTCCATTAACACATAGAGAGAAGAATGAAATTTCAAACAGCTGTTTTCACATCAAAGTGATATAATATTAGAATGTTTCCCCAAAGTTACATGAATGACCGTAGTTACATAGAGAGATGTCATAAAATTGTTATTAGTTAAGCTCGCGGCGCTTCTTGATACAGTATGGTGGAAATATTTCTCGATTAGTGTGGTTGAGGAAGATATAAATGTTAAAGGTACTGTCAGTTGTAGAATTAGCATGTCGGCAAACTCTACAACACTTAATTAAAGCATCATATTTCTCATTTATAATGATCATGTAAATTACCATTATCTAATGAGACACAGATTGTAACAGTTAGTTTTCTGAAGATACAGACTTTTGGTACAACAATTATTAATTTCCATTTATAGTTCCAACGGCCAATTTAAGGGTTAGTGCAACTAATACCGTACAGTAACAGGGTTATTTATGAGCGGGTACTAAAGTAAAAATAATTTTAAAAAATTCATATTGTGTCTAAAATAGTATGAATGTAATACAAATGGAGACGTATGGTAAAATACTCACTCGCAAAATATAAATAGCTTACTGAATAGTTCAAGAATTGACTTTCAAATTAAACTTGACCAATTGTGGAATCCCAAAGCAAAGGGGATGTGGATTCTAGTTATGCAATTTGATTGCAAGAACTTACATGCATTCCACCATACAATGAATAATACATGTGTCAGTGAGGCACGGGAGCCTACAGTAGCCGCTATAAATTGGATAGTAAACTGATTTCCTCGGCCACTTGAAAGCATGTCTAAAGTTACATTCTCAGATTGTTTAATCTTGTAGTTATTTCCTTTTGGCTGAATATCAACATATCTTGCAGTGGTTGATTTATTTATACCTATTTATAGATTTGTTTCAATATCAAAGTCCATATTTTATTATAACAGACTCTTTTTAAAGTGCTGTACTTTTTAAATGAAATTATGTTAATATATTCATATTTTAAGTATCGTGACCTATACAGCATCGCTGATTAGTAGAGATTTCTCATACCGTATATTCTTGCATATAAACACAAGGCTTAAAATAGCAAATTGCGATCGAAAAACAGTGGTTGTCTTATGCGTGCAACACATACAAATTTTTTAAGTTAAATCATGTTCGTCTTATGTGCAGATCGTCATTAACATGTGAATTTACTACTGAAATGAAGCTACTAATTGTTAGCATGAATTAACACAATTTTAAATGAGGGGAAATAGATTAACATAAAAATTCATAAAATAGTATATATACAAAATATCACTTTATTGCATCAAAAACACAAGTAAAGGAAACATAAATAAAGACAACATAAAACAAGTGCTCATTATTACCTAGGACTTGTTCCTTATAAAGGGATCATGCAAGGCTGAGCAAAACATCCAAAAACAATCACACGAACATTTTTAGATTAAGATTAGCCCTACATTTGGCTCATTTTTAGACCACAAAGAGCAGCAAAAAGTTGAAATTCTGACGGTGAAAAAGAAAGTTGTATACGGTACATGCATAAAAGGTTTTTAAAAAAAAAATCAATAGAAAATAATCTGTTTAAATTATGGTTTGAATTTATTTATTATCTAATTATTTTATTTATTTATTTAGGCACACAACACATGCACCAAGGATAGTCAATAGCGAATATATATCACTGTCCTACTTGTAGTATGACAATCCCTTGCACAAGACAAACATACACACACAAGGCTGTACACGAACTATAAGGTTTAAGGGGTAGAGTTGTATATAGTCATGAGAAAAATCCTGGAACACTGACAGGAATTGAACCCAACACCCTGGGATTGGAAAGCAAGCATCTTAACCACCTATTCAACTCCACTCTAAAGAAAATGTTAATTTTAAGACGATGGACCCCTGAGGTTTATCCCACAAAAGTTCTTGAAAAACTAATAAAATGAGTTTTATTGATGCCCTGACACTGGCTACACTTGTCTGTTTATATAACCCACTCCAATTTATGAACTTATTTTTTAGTACTACAGTATGAATCATTATAAGAAGGCTAGTTAATATCTTGGTTTCATTTCCTTTGTTCATCTCCATACTATATTTAGTACAGCACAACAATACAAACATCGGAAAAAATTAGGATAAAGTTTCTGTTGAGATAGTCGCTAAATATATATTTATTCAATAATATAAATAGGGATAGGTATAGGGTAATTACTTCCTATGCAAGTAATAAATATGTTACTGGTTCATAATATTTTGAATATAAACAATAATAACCGTACCATACAAACCTACATACTGTACTTGCTATGAAAATGAAAGAAGTTGAAATTTAATGGAGAAACAAAATCTAATTTGTAGAGTTACATTTTCCTCTGAATTTCTATTCATATAATTTTAAAACTACGATATTTATTTTATGATTTTTAACTTAATGTGTGAATTATGATTAATATATAGTGATTAATATTAAAGTTACTTAATTTATTTATATTAGAATGTGTCTGATATCGGGATATCTTTTTAGCATGATAGGAATATTATGTAAACTCAAAAGGGTTCCAACTTTTGTTTTTTCATTAATTTAACTTTATATTAATGTAGTTAGCATGCAGTAGGTATACTATTAGTATAAGCCATCAATTCTTTTATCCTCAATTGCTGCTTGTTACTCACTGTTTGTGGGTAGACTAGTGACAATCAACTAATTTCATTTAATCTCAACAGTTAATGAATTAACCCAATGTAAAGCCTTTTTTAATGAATGCAAAGATGCCCCATTGACTTCTACTTGTAGGCTTACTCTGTCATTGGACGGACCATCATATAACGTAACCACAATGCCGTCATAGAAATAAAAAGGTTAGGCTCTACTAATCCCTTTTAGATCCTGTTAAGCACGCAAAATGGTGGCCTAGGGCCTAGTTGAGTCCATGTCAGTATTGCAACTTGTTAACATCCCACTTTACCTGGCCTAGGATCCCTGAAGGAGTTTTATAAGTTCTCTTAGCAGTTGCTCTATTGTTCCAATTTTGAAAAGTCAATGATGCACTTCAGGAGAACCAAATGACCATGTCCGTAGTACAGGAGTTTTTCCCATCCCACCCTGTAGTTAGCTGTTTTCATCAAAATTAATTAATTATTTTTTAAGTTAGGTTTGGATACAGCCTGGCAATTCCCAGAAGTGAAAACACTCATTAACCTTTCCCATTTGTTGCTTGTTGGCAGATTTGAAAAGATTTTATTATTAGTACCTGCTAACTGATGTCGAAAGTATTTTCTCAAATATTTATCTGTGATGAATGACTTGCCTACTGAAGATACAGTACCACACTGAAAAGAAAACTCGCTGACTGCATGCTTCAAGGATTTGGTTTCTGATAATGTTTGGTCCTGTTACTTTGCTTTGCTTAATTTAGTAGACGTGAATGATTAATAGATCTTCTATTTCACATTTAAACAATTTTATCAGATGTGTTCAAATCATATCCGAAACACACAAGATTATTATATTTGAAACAGTTTCCTCATTATCAAATGAATGAATGAATGAATGATAATAATAATAATAATAATAATAATAATAATAATAATAATAATAATAATAATAATAATTGTAATAGTAATAATAAGTAATAATACTGTTCCTATATTCTGTTGAATAAATTGGCTGGTAATCAATTCAAGGTATTTCCTTGTAAATTGATACCAAAAAAGTAAATTGGTAAATTATTGATTGCTTTAAAGGAGTAAAATTATTTATTATTAAACTTAACCTTTGACATAATTTTTCCAGATTTGATGGTTTATTTTTAACCAGGATAATTATACTCTGGTGGAAATGCTTTCCTTTTGTCTTGCACATGCTCAACAATCCTGTACTGCAGAGTAATATTACGATAGTAGTTTTTTTTGTAAAATAAGCTATGATGACAGTAGTAACAGCATGATACAGTTCAACAAGAGCAGTCTGTTCTTAAAGGAACTCTCAACAAGATTTAAGTTGTACAGTATTATTTATATGATAGCATCTAAACACAGATATATCAATGTATACATTAATAAAGTCATTTCCCAGTAGGCCAATTTGAATATCAAATTCCTCAGCAGTAAAAATTTAAGCTTTCAAAAATTA